CCCAGAACCTTTGACAAAGAGGGAGACTTGCTCCCTGTACTTGCTGGTGTGGTAAACATTCATCCATTTTATATACAGTAGTGTGTGTCCTCATTTGGATCATGGTTAAACCTGGACTGACAATGACAGGGCATATGGAGAGAAACAAACAAGCACTCAAACTCACATTCATACCGATAGGCAATTTAAAGTCTTCATTGAATTAACATGCATGTTTTCGGGAATTGGGAGGAAGCCGGAACAGGATAGTCAGAGCCAAGAGTTGTAACCTAAGCCTTTGAGTGTAAGGCAGATGCATTAACAATGGGCTCTACCATACTACCAGGATCAAAATAAAAATTAACCAGGTTAGACAATACACACAAGCCGCTCATGATTGTTTCCCAAAACCATTCTGAAACTACACGGCGAACTCCAAATCAAACTAAAAAAAAAAAAAAGACAGCCACTGACGTATCAATGACAATATCCCATATGAGAGTGGACAAATACTCGGGTAGAAGAGACTGAGCGGGGCATCTGTTACATAGCCAGAATTGTCTAGAGAGAAACATCTTCCCTTCCACACAATTCTTCACTTTCCTTGTAGCGTACGAGTAATATCAAGAGATTCAAAGGACACCTGCTGAATCGATAAGACTAATTCCCAAAGGCGATGATATTTAAAAAGATGGGGTGTTCTGTATCGCTATGGATATCTTTGTGCGCAAAAGTTATTGCAGACGACGGCAATAGATAAAAAAACAAGCTCAAGGTCAATGATGATCTTATCAAATTACCTCGCTGCATTATTGAACACATGCAAATCCATCATCGACGTCCTTGTCTAAAAAAGCAATGACTCTAACTTTGTTGCAAATTGGTGGATGTAAATGAAACTTTTAAAGCTGGTCTACCCGCGCCTAGTGCTAGTGGCTAATGATAGTGGCGGTACTGAATTACTCTGTCTCGCAGTTATTGACGCGCATCTAGCCAGTGTACCTCTGAGTAGCACTACTACTAACAATAGCAGAGGCACTAAATATTCCGCCTCACACCTAACGACAAGCTAAACAGATAACCTGCTGCTAGCGTCATCACCAAACAATAGCAGTGGCACTGAAATATTAATCTCACTCTTAATAACATTATAGACAGTCGACGTGAGGCTTGCCTTAGCTCCTAACATTAGCAGTAGCATATGAATTACTCTGTTTCACAGCTAACTCAATGCGCTAGCCATCTCACAGCTAACGATGCTGCGGTAGATCTACCTGTGGAGGCGGCCCGGTAGTCCAGTGGTTTGCACGTCGACTTCACAGTGCAGAGGTACCGGGTTCAATTCCAGCTCCGGCCTCCCTGTGTGGAGTTTGCATGTTCTCCCCGGGCCTGCGTGGGTTTTCTCCAGGTACTCCAGTTTCCTCCCACATTCCAAAAACATGCATGGCAGGCTGATTGATCACTCTAAATTGTCCCTAGGTGTGAGTGAGGTAGTGCATGGTTGTTCGTCTCTGTGTGCCCTGCAATTGGCTGGCTACCAATTCGGGGTGTCCCCCGCCTACTGCCCGAAGACAGCTGGGATAGGCTCCAGCACCCCCGCGACCCTAGTGAGGATGAAGCGGTTCGGAAGATGAATGAATGAATGAATCTACCGGTGGCTAGTGAATGTGCTTGCTGTCTCACCGTTAATGAGATAGAGATAGCCAGTGAACCTGAATTTGCCACTATCAGGAAATCTCAGTGGCAGCATCAAAATGCTATTCTAAATAACTGCTAACAGGTCAACAAAGACGCTCACTGAATGCTGACTCAAAGCAGGAAAACATTTTGTCTGAGGAGATGACACTCCTCCATTAAATGGGAGGAAATGAAGGTCGCATGATGTCCCGCTTATCCCCCACTTTGCTTTGGAATCACATCTCAAACCCTTCAGGAGGGAATGGCAATAAGCGGACAACCTTTTTTTTTTCGGAGGCAATTACGACTCACATTATTTCCCCCGCGCTCTGCACAGGGTGTTTTACCAAATGATCCCCGTTGGTAATCTCAAACACTGCTGACATCAAATATATCCCAAAAAAAACATGCTTTTTTTTCCCCCCTTTCCATATTACTGTTGTAGATTAAAAAAATTACACGCAGACAAAAGGAGACAAAGAGCGACAAAACTAATAATACAATGAGAGGGACGCGTGTTGCAAAATATGAAGAACAAAATGCATGAATGATGAAGCAGCAGTGGTTCCTAAAAGGTTTTGAAGGTTAGCAGCGTCACTGAAACACTGCGTCTCATTGCTTTCTAGCCAATTTAGCTCCTGCAAGAAATTCTCAATTACACAGCAAGGATGCTAGACAATCTACTTGTGTCAAGGATCATCAGATACCATATGGCATTGAGATACTCCAACGTCTCTCTGTTAACAATCCTTCAATAGGTTTACCTGTGGGTAGCGTTAACACCTAATGTGATACCATTAATGAACTTCGAATCACACACTAGCCACTCTATGTATTGAGCTATGCTGAGGTCATGACCCCTCAAGTCCATGTAACTAAATGTTTTGAAATATTTTTGTGGAACGGGAATGTGAAATTATGAATGCCTCAAATACCTTTTCATTGGTAGGGCACAATGTGTCAAGACACTTGCCTTGCATTCAGACTCAAAGGTTGGAAAAAGAACAGAAATTCTGCAGGGAGGATGAAGAAAAAGATCAATATCCTTTTCTATGGTGTACTGCACTGCTGCACCAATTTTCTTCCCAAACATTTGTTAAACGATTCATTATCTCTGAGTGTGGTAGTGAGTAGCAAGTAGATAAGAAAAATAATGACTGTTATAATTAAAAAGACGTTGCTTTCATTAGCAACTGAATGAAAAATATGCTAACACCAGATGGGGAAGACAAACCGGAGCATGATTTGAAACCGATAAGCTGATTCATCAACTACAATGTTACTTTTAGTCTAATTTGTACAATTCTTTTCATCAAATTCACCATTAATTCTTATGCTTAAAATGCTGTTTCCCCCTGAGAACTACGTATGAACTCAATCATTGAGGCGAGTGTCAGATCGCTTTTCATTACTTCAGTTTTCCTGATTTTTTTGGCCCATCCTCCACGGTATAAAAAGTTGAGTGCCTTGGTTAGCGTCTACAGTTATCGGGGATTAGTTGTCTTTCACCGACATAACACCATGCGAGGAGGTGAGACCGCAAACAAACTCATCACCCATCAGGATTCACAGTTAGCTCGTGAGCTAGCTCGTGAGCTAGCTAGTAGCTAGCGCCTCTTGCCATGGCACGGAAAGCCCCATGAGAATCGGATGGGATATATGCCAGCCAACACGGGCCCACAGTGTTTGATATCTGAAAGATGGGCTTGATTTGTCATGACTTTGAAGCCTCCTTTTATATACTTGGCAATTTTCCACATTCACTAGTGGCAGTGGAAATCAAAATCACACAATCGGACATATGGGCAAATGAAACGAAGCGTCCCATGAAGAATTCAATAGGAGAGTTGAAAAACAATAACATAAAGCGAGTTACTTGGATATTTCCCTTTGGGCTATTTCTTATGTCCTGCATTGGTCAACCGCAACGTCCAATTCGAAGACTGTCAAATTTGCTGCAGCTGCAGAGATTGGACGGCCCAAATCAATACAGATAAATATAGGAAGTCCGGATCAAAGTGAAGCTCTCATCTACCGCAGGTTGGCTCTTTCTCACCTAACTCCCTCTGCTTCTGGGCTCTTCTCCAATTCACGAGATGAGAGACGATGGCCAAAAAACAAAACAAACAAACAAACAAACACTGATGCAGTTAGCCTGGTTACAGGGCACGGCCGTCCCTCTGCGATACCTCCTCATGTTACTTCGCTCAAATTTCCACACAAATACAAGACAAAACTTTCTCACCCAATTCACATGTTGTTGATTAGACAAAACACAATAAGAATAACAACCTTTGCGGGGACAATTCATCCTGTTGGGATAGAAGAGACCATTTGGCACATCTACAGCTTTGAGGGAAAGAGAACAACAGCGTGTCGAGAGCAGACACAGCGGGGCAAGTGGAACCAAAAAGGTCCGTTCCGCAGGGAAGTGATTAAAGGCGCAGCGCAACGTCTCGGCCAGGAGAGCACGGACACAGTAGACATCGTTACCCGAAGCTAAACTTGGCATCTTGGCTCACTGGGAAATTTGTCATGCAGTTTTTTTATTTTTTTTTATTTTGGGGGGAAATAAATAATCAACGGTGACAAAGAAGTGCAATTAATAGTGACAAAAATAAGAGAGACAATTAAACAAGTCATACTTAAATTATTTAATGTTATCTGAATCAAATATTTCACTCTGCACATTTACTTGGGTAACCAAATTTAAATGTGTATTATTTCTTCTAATTATCAGATAGATTTTTTTACAATGAAATATTTAGCAATTTTGCATGTTACAATTTTAAATAAAATTAAATTATAAATAACAAAAAGTGTAATTTATCCACGTTTTATTGATCAACAAATAGCAAAAACATAACCATTTTTTAATATATTATTGACAACGTCTTAACGTATATTTAAAAACAATTACAAATAAAATATGAGCTTCTATTTTTTTTTTTAAAGGGTAACCAACAGAAGGTACTGGGGGGCCATATCAGTTTTATCATCTTTTGTTTTCCGCAGCACTCACAATCACAATTTTCGATCTTTCAGCTTTTAGGTATTACCGCAAATAAAAAATAGTCCCAGAGACTTTAAGAGATAGCGAGAAAAAGCAGCGTGTTGATGGGACATGCAGAACCAAAAAGTTTGCGCCACACAGGGAGAGCTCAAGAGGAGAGAAAGGGCTCGGATGGAGGAAGTACGTGTAATATCATAAACACACACACACACACACACACACACACACACACACACACACACACACACACACACACACACACACACACACACACTATTCCAAACAAAAGTAACAGAAGAGGTCAGCCTTTTCAAGGTATCACGGTTCCTACCTGATTGATGATGTAGATGCCGTAGTCAATCCTCTGACGTCTCAGGATGGGGTGGAGGTAGTGAAGCCAATACTTCAGGTGGTTTTCCCGGTGACGGAACGGGATAATGATGGCCACCTGGAGCACATGGGACAAACACATAAGTCAGAAGATTTCAGAGGATGCCATTCTTGAAGCTATCTTCTAATTTCCAGTGCAGAGGTCGTGGGTCCCGGTCGGAGTGTGGTTGCAGTGTGGAGTTTGCATGTACAAAAAAAAACAAAACAAGAAAAGCCAACTTTTTGAAAACACATACCTTCCATCGAGGCCGACAGTCAGGGGGCATGTAGCGGCCTCCCTCCGTCACGTTGGGGTTCTCTCGCTGCACGCGCTCCATTGTCATCTGGGAGCTGAACTCGATCAACAGGCGGCCCACTGAGGACGGAGAGATAGAAAGGAAGGAAGTGAGGCGAAATAACGAAAACAACAAATAGGACGGCACATAAATGGGCGGCGGCCAGATTTAAAATCTTCAAAGTAACATTGGCGGCCTGTCAAAATATCCCCCGCCGAATAATGGCTGGCTTTTGAACACACATTCCGAGAAAATCCTCTTTGATGTCAGCGTGCGTTAGGTTATTTAATCATGTGGATGATGAAGCTTCACCATATGTTACTTTGCATACATGTATTTGAATGAATCTGAGGGTTCAGATACTAATGACTCATTGCAGAGCATAGCCTGGAGCTCGATCATACATCACAGCATATCATAGCAAATGCCAAATATGCGCTCGCGTGGCTATGAGCAGAAGAAATCGGCGCAATCTGATTGGTTTACTGTGAGAATTGGTCTCTGTCTCTCTCTCTTTGAGGATAATCAATAGATGATAGATAGATAAATAGATCGCTAGATAGATCACTAGATGGACAGATATGGCTATACAAATATTGACAAATTTGGATAATGAAAATAAAGAGAAGAATGGACATACAGTACACTGACTTTTTCATCCAAGAGTCACCTCCTGGCTCCACTTGTTTCTTTTCATATTTTTAAAAACATCACAGCACAGCACAGCACTTAATTATCATATATTTGTGTTTTATTCTTTTTTCACTTTGTGGCTTAAGTCAATCGCTCACAGTCAAGTGAAGGAGGTAGCAAATAGACTCGATGGTGGTGGTGGTGCTTATGGACGTGAAAATCACAACAGTCATGCATATGGGAAAATGAAATGAAGCCTTTCAGGACATATTTAAAAGTCAGGCGAGTGGAAAGACAATATGATGAAGCCATAAATATTGATATTTTCCTGAGGGGCTATTTCTTGAACCCCGTGTTGATGGATTTGTGCATTAAATCAGGGAAGTGCACCCACATACGCGAGTTAATAATCCACTTAGAATTGAAGGATTTGCCTTGCCAAGCCACGTCCAATCAACACGAGGGAACGAATTGAGCAATGATCGACCCTAACTGAGTTACATGTTCTCAATTTAAAGAATACCAACTGCCCGCTTTACTCAGCACCGTCTTCCTGTCATTGCTATTAGTGATATCCTTGGAAATGTTTCAAAGCGCCCACACGAGTGGTGGCAATTGTCACGCGATCCATTATTCCTATAGGTTGTGACAAGAACCTTATTGATTTTAGATGATAATGATGTAAGGTGTCCAAGGTGGCGTGGTCCGAGGAAGGAAGGAAATGAGTCTAGCGCTGCACTGTGCAGCGGTAAGGCACAGCAAGAGTAAGCTAACGTCTCCTGTATTTAAATCTCTAAGGACACACAAAGAAAAGCCTCGGCGCAGAAAGAAAACGGAGCAATACTCAACTCGACTGTATTTGTAGAGCACTTTCAAACAACTACCGCTGTATACCAAGTGCTGTACATGGAGCAAAAAATAATTCATACGGCAACAAACAATCAATTAATAACAAAGACAGTAGAAAGCACAAAAACAGTCAAACTAAAAATCAAGTCTCATGCTGTGTCAAAAGCCAAAGAATAAAAATGAGTTTTAAGACGAGTTTTAAAGATGGGCAGCGAGGGGTCTAGCCGAACGCCAGTGAAGGGATGGCAGTGTAGTAGTTACGTGCTCCTCTTGCGAGTAGCAGTCAAGAGGCGAGGAGCAGCATTATGGCCTAACTGGAGACGCTTAATGAAGGAGTGGCTGACTCCAACGTAGAATGCATTCCAGTAATACAGCCGGGATGTGACAGAGGCATGAATAACTGTTTCAAAGTGCTCTCGAGAAAGGAGAGGCTTTACCTTAGCCAGCTGTCTTAGATGAAAGAAACTGGATTTAACAGGACCAATTTGCCGGTCCAATTTAAAATCACTGTCCAGTTTCAGACCCAAGTCCGCAGGATGGATTGTACAAGGGCCACTGGGACCAAACAATTCTGTCTTCTTTTCATTGGGAGATATATCTGACAGTCCTCCACATAGCAGGGGAAGGAAATACCGTGTTTCCTTAATATGGAACCGAGCTAAGTGGAGACTGTAAAGTGTAAACAGCTTTTATTTGAGAGGAGACTAAGGGCAGGAAGGGAGGCTCTCATCCAGACGGAGTCCAACTATCCCAAACTCAATTGCTTTGACAAGTCCCTTTAAAATCCCAGAGAAGGCCCGGCAGCGTTTGGCTCGTCACTTCGAATAGACGGGAGGCGCAAAGAGACTCCGGGCCGCCACCGCCGCTGCTGATTAACGAGCAGCCTGTCGTGTCATCTCTGTGGTCAGATGGCGTGCGGGCGAGCGGAGGACGCGGCGAGGACATTGTGTCATGCCTCTCCAGGGAGGATCAACGCGCTTTGGTTCAAGTGAAAATCTCACACATGTCGGATTGTACTTGCGGTCAGCTAGCAGAGGATTTGACAGCGAATGTTTGAGTGGCAGCGTTATGTAAGGACAGCTAACTATCATTCTGACAGCCTCCGAAATCAGCAGCTTTCTTAATTGCCCTCTTGCTCTTCATATATGAAAAATAAAACCTCAAAACTTGGGATGGACGAGTAGCAATATCGGTAGCAGGCCGATACTGAACTTCTTTCAAATTATCGAGTATTCATGAAGGCTGCTGAGACTGGTCACTGATACCAGTGACTGGCGCCCTCTTGTGGCCATTCGACGATCTGGAAATAAATGGCATGACAGAACGTTTCTCTCAGTGAACTGCATCCAAGTCAATCCTCTCAAATGTCCATAATTTATCGTCAGCAATTATTTACTGACCAGTTCGATCAAAACTGAGCATCCTTGCCGACTGATGTTGCAGATGTTATTTAATTTGCATGCATGCAGTCTTTCTTATGCAGGACGGTAGTTCTTCTCAGCTTTTTGCACTCTTTCATCCACCTCTTCGATTGTCCAATGCGGCTCTCACGGCCTTCTATCCTCTGAAAATCATTAGTGAGTGCCGCCTTGTGTGTATGGGCGTGCGCATTTGCTAGCTGTGTGGATTAGCATCATCCAAGAATCTTCTGTTCGTGCTTTCGTTCAGTCACGACACCCCGAAGCGCGCATGTGCGCATGTGTGTGTGTTTGTGTGCATGCGTAGCAAGTTTTTGAGCGTGCAGGAGCTGCAATATGAGATAAAGAGTTAACTGTGGCAGTGATTTCACTGCCTGCAAACAGCAAAGGACAAAGAGGATGACCTTCAATAACCACTGATAAGGCTGTTGCCTCCTGTGTTGTGTTGTGTATATGTTATCTGAATGTGGAAAGCCGTAATGGCTGTGAATGTTTTATTTTATAGGGTTTTTTTTTTTTCCTTGTCGCTTGGACCATATTGTACTGAGCAGCCAGGTTTACATCATAGTAAATTCCATTTCCTATCCTTTGGTTTCATCACACTTTGGACCCCTTTCTCTGTACTGTAAACACACACACACACACACACACACACACACACACACACACACACACACACACACACGCACACGCACACAAAAAGACAAAAGTCAAAATAACGCTATCATTGTTGCCATAAATGTCAATAATTTATATTGTAAAGTAGTTCTAACTTAAATTGCTGTTTTAGCCCCCTACATAAGCTTTGGGTGTGTGTGTGTGTGTGTGTGTGTGTGTGTGTGTGTTTTTTTGACAGTGTGGTGACATCACTAACAAACGAACAAAAGCCAACAAAAAAAAAATAATAACCATGGAACATAGCTATTAGCCAAACATTTTTTGTCATCAAAGCAGCCATAAAATACAACAACAAAAAAGGGCAAAGTAATACTTGGGCCCATTTCGCGGTGCGCGGTTTAACAAACAAGAGAGTCTAAAAGCTCCTAATGGCGTGAATCCATGTGAACAGTCTGTTGAGGAGAACGCACTGAATGGAAAAAGCGTGTAAGGTGGCAGGAGGAAGCGGGGGAGGGCGCGAAGGGAAGGGAAGAAGTGAGGACAAGTGGTACTTTGAGATACGCAAGCTAATGAAGAGGCAGACGCAGCCACGCCAGCTGTGCGCCATGGCAACGCTCACAAGAAGAACGAAGAAAACAAAAAAACAAGTTAATGGCAATTGTTTCTAATTTGCTTTGTTGCCACACATCAAATAAGGCGGATAATGTGCGTGTTCATTCCAAAACAGCAGCTGTACTGTGCAGTCTTGTGAGATCACCAGACACAGAAATTCACAAAATCAAATCAAATAATATAATAAAAACAATCAATAAACAAATGTTGGAAACTGTGTTCATTTCTGGAAACGATTTAAATGATTCAATGTAACTTTTTTAAGAGAGGCTGCTTATCTTAGGGAACTCGCTGCACCTTCTGTTTTTGTTTGAAATCAAACCAACGTCAAGTGAAATTTAACATTTCAGTTATTTTGGAAATTCTGAAAACGTTTTGACTGTATAAACCTTTGGAGACACGCCGATGACCTTGGTAGTGCCAAGGAGCTTTTGTTGGAATTTTAAAACAAAGATGTCTATTATTGTCTAAGATTTTGGGGGAAAAAAAATTAAACCTTTGAGAAGTTATTCAATAAAAATACGCTTAATTATATCAACAAAGTTAAGAGTTGGAGTTTGTCTTTTAAATTTTGATGTCAATATTGTCCCTTTTACTGAAATTGGATAACGGGTCCAAATATTTGTGATCAGGCTTCTTGACTAATAAACCAGTAAACAGTCTCGGCACTGAAAAAAAAAAAAAAAAACAAGAATAATAAATAAATAAAATATGCCTATCCCTCCTGCACTCCCAGTGTGACATTTAAAATCCAGTAACATATAAGTATACTGTAGATATATTCCTGACATTTCTCTTGTCCACTTAATCAGACTGGCTTTGCCGCGTCAACATTGGTTTGTGATTTTTTTTTTTTTTTAACTTGTACCAATAAGAAAAGCAGATGTTCTAGTTTTGAGAGAACCTTGTGTTCAGTTTTTTAAAAGAATAAAAAAAATGCAGTGACTATG